GGGTAAAGAGACACGAGAGCATCCCCGAATTGCAAGCTTGCTTCCTGAGCACAGGGGTAAGCCAAGCTGCTTGCGAGATAAGGATGCTCAAAAACCCATTCATAAGAAAAAGGATGCTCTGAAGGGAGTCCGACGGAAAGCACAGCCCCCAGCGTACAGCAGGTGCTGCTCCCAGCTCCCTGCCCGTGTGCTGCCCACCTCCCAGCTCCCTGGGTTTGTGCTGGATTTCTGAGATGCAGGTGTTCAGGACACATACACTTTCCCACACCTCCCCAAACTCTCTCCAGTTATGTGTTTCATGAAAAGGGGGGAAAAAATCATTGCTGTCTGGTGCAGCCTTAAAACCAACGAGCTGCCAGGAAGACGGACAGAACCGATTCCTGTATCCAGGTTGAAATGAAGGGATTCCCCAGCTTTCACCTGCTTTCAGACCTTAGCTCATGGAAGATTTTTGTTAAGACTGATCTCCCTCCGTTTGCGATACTTAAGCTCCCCGCTGAATAAGCACTCATCTTAACTATGTTATCTTTATCTCCGTACATGATTTTCCTGGGAATATGGGGAGAGTAAACCAAAAAGATTTACAGCACCAACGCAGCAGCATTGTTTGCTGCAGAAAAACAAACCACGAGAAGCCGCGGTGCATTTTAAATAGCCTCCTAACGGAACATACAGCTGCTCCGACCTGACAGCCACTAATAGATAAGTGCACGGGGGATAGAAGGAAGAGCTTTATCAATAACCCCTAGGCATAAGGAAGAGGAATGTCTTCAAACGGCCGCCGTGCCTGCTCCTGCACTAGCCGGCCGGGGGTTAATGATGTCTTGTCGAGCTGGGAAAGCACTTTGGGGTCCTTCCGGATGAAAGTGCTGGATAAATGGCAGGCAAGATCATTTTTATTAGAAAATCCCCACTGCCAACTTGCTCCTTTTTAATGTTTAATTTCAAGCCGTAATAAAGTCTCGCTGCTCCTTCGGGGTCTCCTGGCTGCCTGGCTGTGGCTCCCCTCCATGCAATGCTATAGCCAGCTTTGCAGTGCCGCAGCCTGGTAGATTTTAGCTCAGCCTGAGGGTTTTTTTGGCTGTGTTTCAGGGTCCCTCCCTGCGTCGGCTGGGTTCGGTCCATGGCGGGAGCTCACTGCCACCCGCGTCCCCCTGCACCGGGGCATCGATGCCGTGTGGCGCGAGAGACACACTGGTCACAACTCCTTAAAGATGCAAATTGAGAAGCAGCCATCATAGCAAGAGACTTCTGTTAATTCTCATCTGAGTATGCAGATTTCAGTGCTGACTTTTGCTAGGCTTATTTGTTTTATTTAGCAATAAATTTAATACAGGCTCCCTGAAGCAAAGAGACAGATGGACTATAAACTTTGAATTTTGAGTAGCTTTACATCCTTAGGTTAGTATCATTTTTGATCTCTCCTGAAATTCTATCCACAAAAGTTTGCAGGGATTGGAATCTGCTTTTTTACAGCCCCCCCAGCCCCCTGTGACCATGCACCTTCGCACCGGAATAACGAGTAACCACCTGATGAGCCACCTTCTATTTTTTTGCACGGGTCACGCAAAAGTATGCTAAATACCACCTAAATGCTGCATACCCTGGCTGCTGGAGTTGTCCCAGCGACTCACAGATGGACCTGAGAAAACCAAAGCACCACATGTTTCCTCTGGGTCCAAGTGCGAAACCCCTGGGCTGAAATAAAATGATGTGCTTGGAGAACGTGGGGAAGCCAGTATGTGTTTTTGGAAGGAGTCACAATGTGGCAAACAGGATTTATTTGCTTTTTCTTGATGGCTGTTTTGCCATCCATCAGCAATACAAACGCAGGTAGGAGGGGAGGAGAAATGCCTGCTGTCTCCAAGAGGTGGGGGATCTCCATCCTTGGGTTGCCCACGTGTGGTGGGATATGGCTACGAGCTGGCCAAGCACTGTGTCACTGCTTTGAACCTGAGGGTTGTGAAAAGTCAGGATTTAATTTTGGAAGATAGAAGGTACAGCCAAAGTGCCTGGTCGCTGGCTGACAAACCAGGTAGAAAGCATGGCGTTGCAAATGGACCCCAACAAGCAGATGTCACCTAACGCCAAATTGCGATTGAATTACCACGGATTAACATATTACAGGTGCATTAAAGTCTAATGAGTGGCCCATGATTAATGCTGTTATGAGGACTAAAAGAACTAATGATGACGAGCCACTTAAAGTTACATGTGGGGAGTTTCAGGTGTTGATGCTTCCACAGTCTCACACTCGCGGGAACAGCCCAGCTAAGGCAAGGGGGTCTGGGACCAAGGAGAGAAGGAGGGACCACATTTCTGCTCTTTGCTTGGTGGGAATCAGCAACGCAGACATCTGGTGATGTGCTTTGGTGCTGTGGGGAATGCCGTGTCTGAGGAAGTTCATTCTGTTTTTCTCCCTAGAATTTTAGCTCTTCTTTTCTTGAGGAGGAAAACCTCCAAAAACAAAACAGCCCTGGATTAAAAGAATACCACTGGCGTACTACAGAAAGAGAATACCAGAGATTGAATCAAATCAACAATAATTAACAAAAATCAACTGGTTTAACTGGAAAAAAAGGGACGCCAGAAAGAGGTTTGGGTCCAAGTTCAGATTTTGGTTAATTTTAGGGGAAATTATCACCCAGTGTGGGAGAGATGACATCTAAGTGTGCCCAGAGACAACTTGCTTGCTGAGGGCTTTTTAGGGAAATGATCCTACAGTTGCTTTAACTTCAGTGCACAAAGTATCAGGAAGCTGTTTTGTGTATGGATGTGTGCTTGAAAAGCAACTGACTGCAGGGAGTTCAATTTGAATCAAGTATAAATAGTCAACAAAGGCACAAGGTGGCCAAATTCCTCCCTCCTGGGACTTTTCAGGCCGTTGTGGGAGATGCCAGGACACCCTGTCCTCCTCCATCTACCTTCTGGGTTCAGGTTAGGCACGCATGCAACCCAACCACAGGAACCACTTTCTGACCCCTAAACCAGGACATTTTGGGGCTGTTAGTCACGTTTTCTCTAGATGGGATCAGATTTTTATTTAAAAAGTGACTTCATATCCCATTTTATTATTTCTGAGCATTGCAGGATTTGTTCTATTTGAAGTCTTACATCCTCATTTCCTGTCACTGCTATTAAAATTGATTTCCGCCATGAGCAGGAGAAAGATAATACGAAATGGGTTCCTGCGAGAGCGAGCTGTATCCCCACCGGAGCCATTATGAACTCTCCTATATTATTTTAACTTTCTTTCATTAGTGATTCTCTTTGGAAAAGGGCAACTCATCCCTTGGCTGAGACGTGTTGTCCACAAAGTTGGAGAAATGCAAGGGGAGCATGGGGCAGGGATTTAAATAGCTCTTCTTCACTGCCCCGGGGTATTTATAGATGTAACCAGATCCCCACTGCCTCCGCGGTGCTCCCGGCTCCACGGTGCCACCAGCCGCATCCTCCCCACCTCCCCTGCACCTGTCCCATGTTGTGCTCAGCACCTGCTGCGACCAACACCCTCCAGCACACCCTTTGTCCATCTCCTAAACCTGACTCCCCGATCACACTGCGATAAGATGGACTACGGGTGAGCATCCTCACCATCAGTCCTTCCGCCACCAGTGACCTCTCTGCCTCCAGAGGCATTGCAGAACCAGAGGCTGCAGCATCACACATCAGCTCCTAAATACGCCAAATTCACCCCTAAAATACATGAAGCATCTTCCCGGCCTGAAGCATCAGTCCCCACTCCCTCTGTGGCACATCCTCGCTTGGGGCAGCCTCCATCAGGTTCATGCTAATGGGGTTTTGCATTTCAGGGCACAGACGGGCTCCCCATCGCGCCGCTTACCAGCCACCAATCCCAGCCCCGGTGGAGCCACCCAAAGGGGCACTGGCACCCACTCCCATCCAGCAGCATCCCCATCCAAGGGCTTAAACGCCTTCACCAGAGAGTAATTTAACGCCATCCCCAGCTTAAGCTCCATATCTACCAGGCGTGAAATTAGTTCCAGCAAGCTGCAAATTTGCTGCTAATAAAAATATTTAGCAATTCACCAGTCTTTAAATCAGGAGCAGGATATTTTCTTACTTGCATCAATGCTTGTTTCTCACAACTCTAATATTTGATAACCCAGCCCAAATTGTGGGGCTGGAGCTGTAAAACTGCAAGTTTTATGACAGTGCAAGGAGTTTTAAATCAATTCCTTTAGCTCTGCTCGCTCCATGGCATCGAGGCTGGAGGAAACATTCGATCGCTTTGTCCGACCTCTTGTATTTCACAGGCTGTTAAGTCTCACCCAGGTACTGGTAATTTGGGTTGGATGACGGCATTTTGCTCCTGTGGAGATGGAGGCCCCGTCTCGCCAGGGACGAAGTGGGGTGGGATATTCCCACCAAAAAAATCATGTTCTGGGGCAAAAAGCAGTGTAAAACCATGCTGGCCCATATGGGAAGAGGTTTTCATATATTTCTTATTTCACACTCACTTGGACAAAGTTTTGGGGGTGAAAAGCCTTTGACAGACATCCCCGAGTGCTACGTAGGATGCAGCAGGACGCTGCTCACTCTGTAGCCGATCAGTATCACAGATTTGCAGTTATCACCCCCAAAAGAGACCCACTCGATTCAAGCCTGCCCTATATCCCAGCAAATATTTTTTGTGTGTTTTCCAAACAAGCTTTGATCCAGCTGATCCTGCCTCGTGGTCTCTGAAGAAAGGTGACCCCTGCATCCTCCCAGACGGGTGTTTAATTAGCCTGAGTGCTGGAAAATTGCATTTCTCTGCAAAGCTCCATTTGACCCAAGCCAGCATCTGCTCACAGGACCATTTCATGCCTTTGCTGAAGCGCCACGACCCCACATTTCCTTCACGAAAATCCACCTGTGGTGATGAAGCCGCCTTCCCCCATCCTGTGAACGAACTATTGCCTGGTTCCAAATTCATAATAATTACATTTATAGAACAATTCAATAACATACTACTAACACAATAATAACCACAATGAAGAATGATTTATTCCCCTCAGCATCAGGCTTTGCTGGACTGTGAGCACCCTTCGCCTGACTCCCGCTGCCCTCCTCCTTCCTGCACCAAGTGCCCCAGTGAGGGGCCGCAGCCCCCCGGGAGCCGCCAGGGCCCGGCCGCGGCCCCGCCCCGCCCCCTCCCTCAGCCAATGGCAAGCGTCGGCAGCGCGGCGGGCGGCTGCCGATTGGCCGAGCGGCGGGCGGTTGCTAGGCAGAAGCGGCGTTGGGGCAGCATGGCGGGGCCGCTGCTGGGCGCGGGGCCGGGCGCGCTGCTGCTGGCGGCGCTCTGGGCGCTGGCGCTGCTGCTCTGCCTGGCGCTCGCCCGCGCTCCCGGTGCCGCCAGGTGAGGAGGGGCGGGGGGGTTTTGGAGGCCCGCAGCGGAGCCCCGGCCGCTGAGGCCCGTCGCTGCCTCTCCCCGCAGGCTGGCCGCGCTGCCCGTGCCGCTGGGCGCCGCGCTGCTGAGCGCCGCGCTGCTGCTGTACCCACGGGAGGAGGAGGAGGAGGAGGAGGAGGAAGGCGCGGGGCCGCCCCCCGGCACCGAGGTGAGGCGGGGGCAGCGGGACGGGGCCGCGGGACCCGCCCCAGCGCTGCCCCGGGGCCCGGCGGCCGCTCCTCGCCCCCTTTTCCCCCCTTCTCTGCTCTTTCTCCCCGTCTTCTCCCCTCGCTTTTTGCCCCTTTTCCCCCTTTTTGCCGTCCCCGCCGGGCCTGCGGGCGCTGCCGGTGCTCAGGGGAGGCCCCCAGAGCTCGTGCGGAGGCTGGTTTGGGGGAAAAAGGGCGAGTTTCACGGTTATGCCTCACCCGGCACCCGTCTGCGAGGCTCTGGCCCTGGGCCGGGCACGGTGCCGGGACAGTTCAGGCAGAATTTCCTCTGTTCTGTTATTAATGCGGATTAATTCCTGCTTAGGCAGGGATCTGTGCCACGAAGCCTTCTGGTTTTCCCTCTGCCGTGTGCAGGCCCAGCTCACGGGCGGGCTGGGACAGGGGAGGCGCAGCCAGGCTGGTGAGAATGGGAAGTTGTGTTAGGGGTTTCTGGGGTCTGTCCTGACCATCGATAACACCCCAGCTGGGCTCTCTGCACTGAAACCCTGCTAACTGGCTAAATAAAGAGTGAAAAGTGCTGCAGGAAAGCACGGTGTCGCTTGTAGAAGGCTTCCCACGGCGGCTCCAGGCCAGGCTGTGTAAAACGGGGCCAGGGGGGCAACGCAAAGCACGGGGACATCCCAATGAGCTGGGAGGTGGATGTCATGACCTGGCGGCCTTGCACATTCCTTTCTTAACCTCTTTTTTTCCTCCCCGTTCTCAGAAGGAGAGCTCTGTATGGGGCTTGGTTGCCGGCCTTTTGCTGCAAACCTCTTTTTCCAGGCCACTGCGTGGGCCCACAGGTGGACCAGGACCATAACACGTGGCTTTTCCACTCCCTGCAGATCGTGGACACCTTCTTCATCAGCCGCCTCATCCTCCTGGCTGTGATGGCCCTGGTCTTCCTTGGGTGCCTGTTCCTTCTGCTGCTTCACCACCTCGCAGAGCCGGTGTACGCCAAGCCGCTGCGCCGCAGCTGGAGGTGAGGCCACCAGCGCAGATGCCATGTCAGATGATGGCAGATAAGGCCCGGCACTGGAGAGCAGAAATGATGCGAGATACCTTTCCAGGGTAGGATAGCAGCAGGTCTGGGTGGCAGCCAACCGCAGGACGCAGCACTGAGCAGTGTTCTCAATTTCCCTCTGCTTTCAGCCTAAACGGGGAAACGCGGAAGGTAAAGAGAACTGAACTCAGAGATCCAGCCCGTTTCTGCCTGAACAATGGATTTGTGAGGCCTGGGGTGGTTTTGGTCAATACTTTTTAACTCCTTGTTGGCCTTTCAATACTTTTCAAGAGAACTTAGGATTTAGGGTTCTTTGCTTTGTTTTATATTGGTAGCGTGGAAGAGGAAATCCAATTTTCATTGCAATGAAATAGGAGACTGGTGGGGAGTTAGTGAGTCAATATCCACAAGTTGTTTTGTCACTGTTCTTTTTTAATGTTAAGACTAATTAAACTTTCTGAAGAACCCCTGGCTCAGTTGTTATTTAGTTCACAGGAATGTCATGTTTTGCAGCCTTTTGGTGCCAGTGTCTCCAAAGAGTGCCCTTTCCCAAGGTTTTGGGGAAGCTTAGCTTGTCCATGTGTGGTTGTGGATATTTTGGGATGGTCCCTTTTGCTGGGTACTCCTCTGCTGTCCCTGCAGTCGGCATCATTCCTGTGTCATTCCAGCTTCCTGAGGAAGGAGCCAAATGATTTAGCTTCATTTGGCCAGGGAGTTGAAACAGGGGTGTAATCCCTACTCTCTGAAATGGCAGGTGCAAGGGGATGACAGCTGTCAAGTGAAATTCAAGCTAAGGTTTTCCTGGTTGACCAAAAACCCAAGGCTTTGAAATAGGGCGGAAACAACATGCAAAATAATGCCAAATGGGGCAAATTGAAATTGCACAAGGATGCAGAGGAAAGCCAGGTCTCGCCTGCCCGTGCTCAGCCATTCTGCCAGCCCACCAGAACCCCTGTTGTTTTTATGGGGCCCGTGCTGTTAACAGCGTCTTTGCCGGACCCTGGCTGTCATCCTGAAGTGGAAACTGGAGGCTCCCAGCTTCTGCTATCCCTCAGTGTGAAAACCCCACTCATGTTTTGCAGCTGAAGCTGGTAGCCGGTGGGGGGAACCACTTTTTGTGTCCAGCAGCAGCGCCAAGGAGCCTTCAGTGTTTGCATTTCCCAGCTCAGAGCTGAAGCCAGAAAACATAGCCCTGTGCCATGTTTGGGGCTGACATGGGCAGAAGGTGAAAGACACGTAGCTCCCTACACATCTGGTTTGGTTTGGTGGTTTGTTGTTTTTGTTTTTTTTTTCATTTTTATGTTTTGAACTCAAGGTGGTCAACAATAATAAAAGAACTGACCGCATTGCAGCCAACTCCTACCTGCTGTCAAAAATGCTACATGGACACAGAAGATTAATTAGCTGAAACTAACAAGCTCAGGGACAACATTGCACCTGCAGAAAGTGTCTCTACACCCATAAAAGGAGAGAGGGGGCTCTGTGCTTTGACTTTTTGAGTTGTGTAAATACTTGATCCCTTTTTATACTGAGGATGATGTCGAAAGTATTCAGGCTATCATGTTGAGGAATAGTCCAAGCAGTTATGCAACACAAGCACGTCAAGTTTCTTGGAGATTTTGAAGTTACACTTGAAACAAAATTCATATTTAATTCATCATCTTAATGACATTTGTGAACATGAAGTTAGCCTCACAGCTCGCCCCAGCTCCCTGCCTGCTGTGCCTTTATTCCCCATGCTTGTGTGAGAGCAGGGGGCTGATTGGCAGAGCCCTGGGGCAAACTGTGCTGGCCGGAGACGGTGGCTGCTTGCCAGGCTTTGAGTCCGACAAAGGGGGAAGCTGTGGTAAAAGCAGCTGGAGCTCTAAAAAAAACCCTAAAAGTAGAAGCATGAAGCTTCCTAGAGTTTTGGCGTAAATAAATGCAAGATACTTGCTTTCCACCCTGCCTCAATCATCCATTTTAACTAAAATTGGTTTAAAGGCTAATCCTGTGGGGGTAATTTTGGGGGGACCAGAAACCTGTGTGCAGGAGGCACGTGGTGGCCCCGAGTTGTGGAGGCCATTTCCATGCTTTTCCCCCAAAACCGTGCTAATTGGAAAAAACAGTCCTATGCCCTCTCACCTCCTGGTGGGACCCTCCCCATGAGGCTTTCTGGGCTCCATCCTCATCCCTTGCCACCTTCGGAGGGGGAGATCAGGCTGGTGAGCTCAGTATGGGCGCCCTCTGCATATTTATTTATTCCAGGCACAGCAACACAATTCTGTTCCCCCACGCAAGGGCTTTCCAGACAGTTCCTGTTTATTTTTGGGAAAGGAAGGACCGCGTCAAGGAATTGGTATGAACTGAAGCTGCTTTCCAAGCAGCCCCAAATGCTGTCTTTTGCTGCTGTTCCCCACCCAAACCTCTAGATCCTGAAGGATAACTTCTTGAAAATGAGGCCACCTCTGTCTAGCACCCTCATTTATTTTTACTTTTTTTTTTTTTTTTTTCAATTAAGAGTACAGCAGGAGGGTGGTTTTGGCTTAAATCCTAACGTCTCTGTCGTTGGCGAAGATGTTGGGAGTCTGGAAGATGTTACAGTCAAGAAGCCCTGCTCCAGCCCAGCTTTCTCCCACGACCGCAAGGAAATGCTCCCAGCTTTCCTCTTGCAGGCTGATTACACTGGGTGCTCCGTGTTCCAGGAGCCAGCCCCATCCAGGAGAATCATGCTAAATCCCACCAAGAGAAGCCCTCCCCCCGTGCCAGATGGGATGTTTGCATGAGATTCTGTGTGCACAGAGGAGGGCTGCCAAGCTGCTTGCAGGTCAGGTGGGAAAACAGCCCTTTCCTCCACTAAATTGTCTGCCCAGCTCATTAGAAATGAGCAAGGATGCTCTGCCGTGGGGATGCTGGTACCCAGCTGGCTGCTGTGGCCTCGTGCAAGCCGAGGGGCATCCTTGGAGTGGCTGCTCCCTCCTTGCTGGGCAGCAAGCGGGGCCAAAGGGAGCACAAGTGTCTGCTAGAGAATCTGCGCTTCTTGATTTAAGGTCCTTGAGTGATGGCAATTCTTCATGCCTCGTGCTGCGCTCTGCCAGCATTTAATTACCCTCACTGGTAAAAACTGGCCTCTTATTTCCACCCTGACTTTGCTGACTTCAGCTTCCTGCTGCTGAATCCCGCTTTGCCTTTGGCTGCTAATTAAAAAGCCCTTCAGCGCCTGCTGGCTGCTCCTTGCATGGGTAATTACGGACCTTCCCCACGCCACCTCCTCACCTTTGCAGCCGGTGTCCCTCCGAAGCATGCATGGCCCCATCCCAGCACACTTCTCTGCATCGCCATGGGTGCTGGTGGCACGGACAGAAAGCACACAGGGACAGGGACAGCTGTGGAATGGCACATGGTGACTGCTCCCCACATGTGCCTGAAGCACGTCGCTGTCAGAGAGCCTTCATGCCATAAAATTCTGCTTTTCCCAGGTGGAAAGCAGAAAGGGGGGTAAGGGGAGGCTCTGAATGAGCTCACTTGCAGCGCAGTATTTCCTCCCAGCTGCAGGATGGCAGCGGGCTTGCACAGCCTTTGCTGCGATGCGGAGCTTGGCTTTGGCCAGGGCAAACCCAGGGGATGCCCCTGGCTTCCCACCCACCCCTTGGTCTTTGAAATCTGTTTTATTTTTGGCATTTGGCTCCTTTTTCTATGAATGCTGTTTAAAACTGCATCAGGCTGTCTGCCCTCTCGTCTCACTCTCAGCAGCACTGCCAGAGCCGCAGCCAAGCTGCTCAGATTTTCCAAACACAGCTGGAGAGGGACGCAGCCCAACTTAAATTCATCCCAGAAAAACTACAGGCTGCTGCAAGAAAGGGCAGGAGGTGGGAAAAAAAAAAAAGGAAAAAACCCTTGCTTTTGCAACAGCTCCCCCTGTGTATGTCAGAGCTTGTGGAACTGCTTGTGGGATTTTTGCGTGTTTAAAGCGTGTATTTTGAGCCTCCCCGTCCTCCTCCACAATGTGGCTGGCTGTTAAGGAAAGCGTAGTCCCATGTGTACTAAAACAACTGTTCTTAGCTGGGCTCAGCAGCATCTTCACTTTTCTCTGTGAGCCCCAGCATTTTTCTTCCCCGTTTTCTCCACTGGGGGGGAACATTCAGAGCCCCAGCAGTGAGTGCGGCTGCCTGGGGCCCAGTGCGTAGCGATGGCCGTGGCTGTCCAGCTGCTGCTTCCCACACTGGGGATTTACGGGGAGCCTGTCCAACTGGCCCGCAGGTCTTTTTTTTGTCTTTTATCCATTTTTTTCCCCTCTGCTGATGAAATCAGCACTTAATAAAAGAACACTGGGCCCAGATGTTTTCTCCTTGGGTTGAGATCCAAGGAGGTGAGGTTGACCGGAGTTCAGCCGCCAGCTGCATGCAAACATCAGCCCATGGCAGACGCTGGTTGCCATCGCCCCTTGTGCACCAAAGGTGGAGCCCCCCCCCGAGCACACAGCTGGCAGCACAGCTGGCCCCTGCACTAATTAGGCAGCACTGATGAGGCCTCCTGGACCTGCCTCCACCCAGAGGCCCGTGCCCATTGCACTTCTCCTCTAATTAGGAGGTGGCTAACGAAGACTGTCAGCCTCCTGCGTTGTAGCAAAGGAGAGCAGCCACGGTGCACGAGGGGATCCACCCTTCGAAGCCTGATGCCTAGCTACCGGTCCCTTTTTGTGTGCTAAATGGCAGAATTGAGAAAAATGCTTTTTTTGTTGTGGTCGTTTTTGTGAATTGCTTGAGCAACAAGGAGCAAAAACAGCTTAATTTGGGCTCAGCAAACAGCCTAGGAATGTCCTTTATGAAGAATAAGAGGTGCTGTCGGTGAGGCAGTGCTCTAGGTGCTGGTGCGCCATCCTCCTGGTCCGACATACTGAAATACCGAGTGCTGGTACACGTGATCCACCCCAGCCTCCAGGAAGACTTGGCCAAGCATTGCCATGGGGTGGAAAGGGCATGGAGCGGCAACACAGGCTTCGCACCTCTTTATTGATAAAATGGCTGATGGCACAGAGTTGGCCCAGAAAAGTGGGCAGCTGGCTCCTCCCTCTGAGGCAAGATGGCGGTGGCACGGGCCCAGGGCCAGCGTGGTGGTGGCCATGGCGTGGTGCCGGCCTGCCCTGGCCTCTCCTCCCTCTGTCAGCACAGGGCTGCTGGCGGGGGCACATCAAAACTGCTTGAACCTGTGGGAAAGAAGCAAGTGGCTGAGCGTTGTGCAGCCTGGCCTTGCTCTCCAGGTACCAGGGCATCCTCCACCATCCGCAGCATCAGGAGAGAGGGAAGGGAAAAGCAGCTCTGCCGGGGTGCCACGTCCACACCACAAGGAGAAGCAGGCACAAGGAGGGCATCCAGCCACCATTTTGCCTCTGCCAAAGTGCAAGTGACCCAAAAACCACCCAGCATGTGCACATCTGCAAGCTGCTCTGGAGGCAACGTGCTCCCCAAAGACCAGAAGGCATTACAGAGTTG